AGGGAATGTCATTATTTTTCTAATTCTATATATATTAATGACATCTTACTCATTTAGTATAATATAGAAAGTTTTGTCATCAATAAAGAAGTAGTTGTTCAATTATTTTGAAATAAAGGATTTTCAAGATGTAAGCTATATTCCTAGGATCAAGCTTTTGCAAGATCAAGTTAAAAGGAAAATATGCTTATCTTAATAATCCTACATTGATAAAGTTTTGACCAGGTTTAGTATGCAAAACTCAAAGAATGAGTTATTACGTTATTGACATGGATTGCTCTCTCTAGTAAGTAGTTTTCCAAGACTATCAGAGGAGATTGAACAAATGAGACCGGAACAATATGTTTCGGCATATGGGAGTCTCATATATGCCATGGTCTATACCAAACAAGACATCCGCTATATGGTAGGGATAATCAGTAGATATCAGTCCGAACTCAGACTTGAAAACTGGTCTGTTGTGAAAAATATCATAAAGTACCTTAGGAGAACCAATGATCTCATACTCATTTATGGATGTGATGATGTGGTTCCAGTCAGGTATGATAGTTCTGTTTTCCAATCAGAAGTAGATATTTTGAGCTTCATGACTTAGTGTATGTTCTCTCAATAGAAGAGAAATCAGTTAGTAAATTGTTAAGCAGATTTCAATTGTTGACTCAAACCTTCAGGGGAAGTACATTGCAGCCTTAAAGGCGGCAAATGGAAGCCTTTTGGTTTGATTTCACTGATTTAGAGGTTGTGGAGCATACTAGCCTGCCTATCGAGCTATATTGCGACAATGCAGAAGTAGTCCAAACCAATGACCCAAGGTTCCATAGAGGAACAAGGTACACTGAGAGGAAAGTATCATGTCCTAGATGATATTGTCCGGCAAGAAAATATGCTCATGGCTAGAACATTGCATTGAAACACAACTTTGTTGATCCATTAACAAAGGTGTTATCGATCAATAGTTTTGATCATCACCTGGATAACATTGGAGTTAGATGCAATTTAAATTGGCTATGAGGGCAAGTGGCAGCTGTTGGGATTTATATGCCCCGACATAGCAAATTCCTATTTGGATTATAGTGACATATGTTCCTGACGTTTCTGAAATATTTATGCTTGATACAATTGGTGAATTCAATGTATTATGTTTCGATTCATTATAGAATTGATAGTGTCCACTTGATTACAAGAGATATTTATATATGTATGTGATGTCGATCAATACATGAATATAAAAAAGTAATCATAAATGATTCATAGTCGGTAATTATGGATGTACTCATAATTAATTAAGACTTGAACTGGATCCGCGTTAGGTTGAGATATATTGCGAGAGCCGTCGTATGTAATTGCTCCCTATCACTGTCAGGGCATTTGACTCTTAAGTATGAGAAAAGTATAAACTCATTTATTAATTAATAATTACTTTGATTTGTTCGGCGGATATTTTGGGATCCTTAGACCGACACTTTGGGTAGTTATGTAATTAATAGTTAAATGGTTATATTTTTAATATTTGTATCATTGTTACTTGTATTTATTTTGTATTGATTATGGTTGATCATAAAGTAAATTCGAAGGCCTTCGTGTGTTTTTAGACAAAATGATTTATTATATATTTATTTATTTAAATTATTATTTTTGTCAAATAAATGTTTTATTGTGATCGAGCCATAAATAATCAATGGTACCAAAATAAATATATTAATTAAGTAGTCGGATTGATGGCTTTATTTATCCGATAACTAATTATGTATAGAGAAGTCAAAGTGCAATATTGACTTAGAGGTTATTTATTATTTAATTGGAGTTCAATTAATTTTATTTAGTGGAGTAGAAATTAATTTATGAATTAATTAAATTAGGTTCATGGACCGGGCCAATTATTAATTCACGTCCAACTTGATATTGGAATCCTATTAGATTTGAGACATGTGAATTAGAGATTGAGAATGATTTATTGTTTCCTTTTCTTTATCTTTATATTGCCTATATATATACATGGTCTATGTATATTTTAGGGATGCTTTTTTGGAAGAAGGAAAAAGGAATTTATTTTCTCTCTTTAGAAAGTTAGGGTTAATATTCTCATCTAATGGATACTCCCACAAGCCTAGTTTTCCAAGGTCATTCGTGGAGGCTTATGAGTGATTCCTAACGGTAAAACAATTACCAAGAAGATAGAGATTCAAGGAGAATGCATTTTGTTAAGGGATTTACAATAAGTGAGAACATTCACTTTAGAGGAAAGATTTAAAGGTTTACTTAGACATTTGATATAAGTATTCAATCTGTTAATTGAATGATATATCATATTTTATTTTTGTATAAAATTTGTCTCTATATGATGAATCAAGATATGTGAATAAAAATTCCTCAAATTTTTTTTAAAACTTACACGTTTTCCAACAGTCAATTTCAGCATATATTCCGATCATGTAATAATTTTTAACGAATTTGCATATAAAGATGGTCATTGGACCAAAAAGTCCAGCAAAGAAATGTGAGATCTTCATTCATGAACAAATAACAATCACAAATGCAAAAATATGTTAGAAAGGTGTGACCTGGGATATACCATCCTTGTAATGTGTGTGTGTGTCTCTCTCTCTCTCTCTAAATATATATATATATATATATATATATATATAATTAATTTCAACCACCACCCACTTTAACATGTGGTGTGCTGGTGTAGCTTTTGCCTTGTAGGACCATAACCAGACTAAGCCACCCCATAAGCTGGTCAGCTTGAGAAATATCCAGTAGTGGTACATCCTAGTGGACCCCAATTTAAAAAAATTAGGTACCCAAAAAAGATAGGCCTTTTTCTTTATTGTTAGTTTCTTCTTAGACTTTGTCTTCTCTTTTGTTACACACATACATTAGATGGATCTAGGATAGATCATCTATTTAATTATTTACACTCACACTTGTAAAAAAGTAAAAAAGGTTAAAAAAAAGGCTGATTTTAAAAGAAACTCCCACAAAAGTTTTTCAGGTTTCTTAAAAGTTTCATGAAAGCCCACTTTTGCTTTCACCCTCATGCACAAAAACGTATGTATATATATAGAGAGAGAGAGTATGTATATGTGTTTATATAGAGAGAGAAAAGCAGAAAAATGAGGCCAAAAGGAGGGGCGTTGTGATATCATTATCAAAGTGGAAAAAGGATAAATGTGTGTATAGATGGAACCAAACCGTGGAAAGTAGTGAAAATTATAGGGTGAAGAATTTAGAAGACTGTCACTATCTTACGCACGAGGGTGAGCACGAAAACCCATCAAACAAGTGGATCTGCACACGTGCATGCCTTGCCAAAAAGTTCTACTAATGCAGGTAAAAAAGTTGGAGAAATTAAAATAAAATAGAGTATGGATGAGAAAGATTCCTAGGCAAATATACCCTTAATCATATGCTTCAAGCATAGATTCCCCGTATCCATCTATACCTGATGTTCTGTGCAGTTTGTAATTTTTTTTTAATGGTTCAATATCATTATACATTTTTACAAATTTGTTGATTTACACTTAAATTTGTTACACTGCGATCACAAACAATAACGTAATTGTAAACTATGATTTGAAGTGTATACCTTGGGCAATAATTTAATCCAATTACTTATAATTATTAAATGTATTAAAATAGGTCTTTAATATGACTCACTTTAAGACATATGGGGATAGAAATTAATTAAGTTAAACTATTAACTAAGCACCCAAAGACAAGGAGTGGAGTAGTAAGTAACCAAATGCTTTTGAGAGTTAAAAATAAGCATTGATCCATCTATTTCCGAATTCAATCACAATTTTACAATAAGAAGAAGAAATCTTTCTCGATAAATCCCTTTCCTGAATCCCTCCCAGTAATGGAAGGATATCAATTGAAATTCTGAATTTTCGAATTGGGAAAAAAATTGAGAGATCAGGAATTCTTAGAGCGTGCTTGGTTTAAAACTCTAAGAATAATTTACTTTTATCAGAAAACTAAAAATAGAAAATTATACAAAACAACTGTTTTCAGAAAACTAAAAATAGAAAATTATACAAAAAATTTTGTTTGGTTTAGTGTTCTAAAAACTGAGTTATAAAAAGGTTTGTTTTCAGATAAATGTTTTTTATAGTTTACTGAAAACAGTTTTTTATTCTTTGAATTCTTGAGAACTGTTTTCAAAATTACAAATCAAATAAGTCCTTATTGTTTCTTAGATTCATATTCTAATTTAATTTAGTTGCACACTGCACAAATAAGGATAAATCAAAATCAAATCAGTTGCAATGGTTATTACTAAAAGAAAAATAATATATCCTCCCAATTCGGGATGATGTGAGATATATGTGGGAGGGTGTGGCCTCACCACTAGACGTCCCACATCTCTACTCATATATTTTTTTATACAGCATTCTCTATGTTGGAATAATGTATCATTGCTCATTATGAAATATTTTAAAATAAATCATCATCGAAAGTAAATAAAAATCAGACCACCCTATGATCTCAAAAATTGCCTCGAATGATTTAAATCAGTTCAATGGACTAAAATTACCCAATAATACAATCTCATAAAAATCAAGTCTTATTCAAACAAGCTAGAACTAAAATTAAAATTGGGCAATTGATGATGAAACAAGAGACATTAATCCAAGAAAATGACCGTTCGATTACTTATGGAAGTCACCTGATCGTACGGCTGGAATTGATTAAAATGAGCTGACTTTTGTGGCCTTACGAGATCCAAATGGGCTGTCCAAGCAACTCCAATCACGAAAGTCACGTGACAGGAGTGAAATTCGACAGTGGTACACAAACAATAATAAATACAGAGTACCCTACTCCACCTGGCGTCAGTTTTGCCATTAGTAGCGTAAACGCTCTATCATGCGCCGTTGCAAGAGTAGTACACCATAGGGTTAATCAAGTAAATTCAGTCGACACCTAAATGCAAGTATTAATCCACTAAACAATCATGGACCTCTCTTTGATTACTCGCAAATCTTTGTTATTACGTGCGTGACCCCATGACCAACATTATTACAAAATAACAGTTAGTGAGAGAAAGTAGAGCGAGAAAGAAGATAGACATATAGATATAGAGAGAGTGTGTGTTTGATTCTCGTTTCATTTATAAGTCACAGTTTTCTTGTTACTTCCTCTCTCTATCTCTCTCTACATTTCGCTCGAATTTCATGTGATTACCGTTTTCCGATCAGGTCTCCGACTAACCTCGCCGGAAAAAAACTCATCGTTTTCCGGTAATCTACGACCGCCGTGTAGCCGGAATTTGGCACTAATCGTCGCCGGAAAAGGTCGGGTGTTGAAAACTAGGGTATCGTGATCGAGATTCAATATGAGCACCGTACATAATAGCGTGGAGACCATAAACGCCGCAGCGACTGCGATAGTGACTGCTGAGAGTCGTGTACAGCCAACCACAGCTCAGGTGCTTATATATGTGTATCTTTATATATATATATATATTGCTTGATTGATTTGTTCTTGATCTTTGCTTTAATAAAGGAATATAATTTCAAGTAGTAGTTATTGCAGTTATATGATCTAGTTTGTTAATTTTTATTGTTCTAGTTTTGTTTATATGAATTTACTGCAATTTTATTGTTAGTCTGGTGCTTCAGTTCTTGAATTTGAAGTGAATTGTGTTTGGATGTAGCTTAAAGTTGTTTGTTTAGTGTTCCTTAAGACTTGGATGGTGCTGTGTTGTGTGAGCTTAGTTCTCAGTTAAAGAGTGATTTATCTTAGTTTATAGTGGCAACTTGGGCTTAATTATGAAGGGCGTATTAGAACACCAGATTGAAGAATGGCTTCATGTAGTTAATTTGTATATTGAAAGTAGAATTCGCTATACGCACACATTGTATTTCGGAAATGACTGTAAATAATTGTAGTGCCATTGCAGGAAAGCTTAAATTGGTCCAACACTATAAATTGTATTTAAAGCTCACACTCTTTTTATTCATTTCCATACCACGGATTTTAATCTTCAAATTGTAAGTAATGCGAACACAAGTGCCCTTGTGCATGCTTGCGTATTACTTGTGAAAAATGATTTGAAGGGCATAAAGAGAAATTGTGTTTTAATTATGTAAAATGATTTAGAAGGATGCAAAAGTGAGAGTGTGTTTTAATTATGCAAAATGATTTAGAAGAATGCAAAGAGAGACATGTATTATAGCCTTTCTTTACCGGATTTTGAATTGGATGTGGCAACTCTACTGGCCATTGCTGTCATAGCACTGCAGTAAAGTCATCTGTAGGGTGGTTTAAGTTCTCCTGGTCAGGTTTCAGTCCTAACAAAAGTCAAAAAGAAAGAAAAACTGAATTAGCTAAGCTCATTTTCTTTGTTGAATAAAGAGTGAGCTAAGCTCAAATATAGGGTTCCACCCCCCCTGTGAGCAATTTGGGAGGCTTGTTTACTTTCAATCACCTATTAAATAAGCCATGCTTCAGCTTTAATCCTGGGATTATTTCCTTGACACACTGAACTCAATTACTCTCAGCTCTAGTTAAAGCTTATGAACATTGGGCATATGCATATGAACTATAAGGTTTTAGTTTTGCCCAAAGGTTCTAGTTTATAGCTTCTTTATCTGGCGGGTATATAAACAAGATAGTTGTTAAAAACTTGATCTTGGCTCAATGACTGCCTCATTAACCAGCCTAAAGAAGTCAAACTCAAGCTTGCATTTTAAGTTCTTGCTTGAATGCCAAAGATGACCAAGTCCCAGCATAATCTTGTAAAACGGTTGAGTTATTCTTTCAGTAGTTTTAGACACTTAATCCATTGACAAACTTCTTCCCAAAAACATTTTAAAGTAAATTGACAAGTAAGACGAGGCAAGTGAGGCATGATGATTAATTGAGAAACCTTTGGTGACTTTCGTGAACTAGCTTAGATTAAGGTAGGGCTGATGGATTTTGAAAATGCAGATGGATGTCAGTAATGTTAATGAACAAGCTTGGTGCAAGCTACATAAAACAATCTCAGTGGTCCTAGTTGGCCAGTGTCAAGTTGAACAACCTGCTCAATCAGCATTTATACCCTGATCTAATAGAAGGCAGAATGCGGGAAAGCAGGTTGCAACGAGGCTGCTTTAGAAGTCATTACTAGATTATTACAAGTAGTTGTAGGGTGCTTAGAGATGTAATATATAGAAATTAGGAATAGAGATGCATGGCTTATTAGTTACAAATACAAGTGATGCTGTTAAAATTGTATCTATAAGATTGTATCTGCATATATATCGATTATTATACTCACTGTTATTCATTATCAGTTCTTTACGAACAGATCTTGACAACAACTACTATTCCAATTAGAAGAAAATGTCCCAATAATCTTTAGAGTGTGGTTCAAAATGCAAGAAGAGTGGTAATAAAATTTCAAAGGAGTAAATTTGAAGCATGAATAAATGTTATAATTAAAATAAAGAAATGCAACTGTGTTAAAGCTTGCTTAAATGCTTCTACAATGAAGCTTTTACTCGTTTCAGGGAATCTTGTTTTTGTTCCCTATAAACTATTTATTAGATACTATACTCCACACAATGAGGCATAGGGATTTGCATAGGAGGCTAGTAAGTAAATATCTGTATGTTATGAACTTAGCATTATATATATTAAGGATCTAATTTTTAATTGAATGGTTTCATCACTTTGAGGAAAAGAATAATAGGAACATGATACACCCTCTTACTTGCTTCATTATAGAAACATCATTCGAGTAACTTATCTCGGAAACGAGGGTATTTTTCTTATTGAGAAACATCACAGGCTGTGTCCATTTCAAGGACCTAGGCATGAAGTGGGCTGTGGGCACCTTTGTTGCATCTATATTCCAAAGACATGCACACCTTTGCTTCTACATTCTTTTTCTCCTGTGGGCCTTTAGTGTCTGCTTTTTGTTTACTGGACAGAGGTAACTTACCTGGGAAGAATAGTCAATTGTGCATAGTAGCTTGCTTATACCTTTCATACTGATGGTTTTTTCCTGTATTCAGTAAGCCAAATTTGTTTTACAACACTGAAAATTGAACTCTGGTACTACATGCCCCAAGGATCCCACAAAGGTTCATGTCACTGACCATGTTGACTGATTTTGATGTGGATTATTGGGGTAGTTCAATCCAAAAATTTCTGCTGCCCCTTAAGGTTTCCTCCTGAAAATATATACTTATTTAGCTTAATTTTTAATAGATTTGATTCAATTGTCATCTACTATTGGAACATTCTGAAGATGAGTCCAACTTGTGCTTAAGAATTGGAGTGGTCTTGTACTACAGAGATTTTATATCAAGATTAGATGGTAGACCCCTTTGCTCTTTCACTTTATGGGGTGAGTTTATATTCTGGAAATGCATTTTTGTCCTTTCAATAAAAATTGCATTTCTGAGTCAATACTGCTTCTTCAGTGCCATTAAATTTTGGAGGAAAGGTTAATTGTTTGTCTTTAAGCCCAATTCTTTCGTGTTCATGCATTTAAATAGTCATCAACATGACGAATGTGACCTAATACGCCACACGTACATGCAGATTAATAATGGAATCTAGTCATTCACATTATCATCTTTTTTTGCAAACTTCGAATTAGTACATGCAGCTTGATGATTGTTGATCCTAAGAGGACTTGCAGTGGTAAAGTTTATAAAATCAAGTTAATTGGTCAGTGCCTTTTCTGTTCTTTTTTACTCCATTGCCCAGGAGAGATCTTTGAAGTTATATATGTTTTCTTTGGCTTGCTCTTTGTCGATAATGAATACCTAGATTCATGTCACTATTGGGTCTGAAATTTACAAGTAAATGATAGTATGTAACCAGTGTCTTACATCAATGCTGAGGGTCTTATTAGTTAGAGAAGAAGCACGACCTAATTATTGATAATGCATTTTTTGGATTGACTTCAGAAGAGAAGATGGGGAAGCTTCTGGAGTCTATACTGGTGTTTTGGGTCTTGCAAACACAGCAAACAAATTAGTCACGCTGAACTCGTTCCTGAACCAACAGTGCCTGGAGCTGCAGCCCCTCCTGTCCCTGATAATCTGAATCACTCAACCACCATAGTACTACCCTTCATTGCTCCTCCCTCTTCTCCTGCATCTTTTCTGCAATCAGATCCTCCCTCCACCACACAATCACCAGCTGGATTACTCTCCCTTACTTCGCTCTCTGTTAAAGCCTGCTCCCCTGGTGGACCTGCCTCCATTTTTGCCATTGGCCCTTACGCGTACGAGACCCAGCTAGTTTCACCCCCTGTATTTTCTACCTTAACTACTGAACCATCCACTGCTTCTTTCACTCCCCCACCTGAACCTGTGCAACTGACAACACCTTCATCACCAGATGTACCGTTTGCTCAACTTTTGACATCATCGTTGGCCCGCACTCGAAGGAACAGTGGGACCAATCAGAAGTTCTCATTATCCCAATATGAGTTCCAGCCTTATCAGCTATACCCAGAAAGCCCAGTTAGCCACCTCATATCACCAGGCTCAGCAATTTCAAATTCAGGCACCTCTTCTCCTTTTGCTGATAAACGCCCTATTATTGAACTTCGCATGGGGGAAGCTCCCAAGATTTTTGGCTATGAACATTTTTACGTTCGTAAGTGGGGTTCGAGGCTAGGTTCTGGATCTTTGACTCCAAATGGTGGAGAACCTGCCTCACGAGACAGTTTACTTTTGGATAGCCAAATATCTGAGGTAGCATCACTCGCCAACTCAGAGAATGGATCTCAAAATGGTGAAATTGTAATTGATCACAGAGTCTCATTTGAGTTGACCAGTGATAATGTTCCAACTTGTATGGAAAAGGATCGCCTCTCTTCACTTGAAACTGTATCAGAATCTCTACATGATATAGCATCTGAAAAAACTACCAAAAGAGAAGAGAATGCAAAGACCACAGAGAATTGTAGTGAATGCCGTGTTGGGGAAGCTTTGGATGAAATACAAAGGAAAGCTTCAGGAGACGTGGAGGAAGAGCTGTGCCATCGAAAACACCGTTCCATCACATTGGGGTCTATTAATGAGTTCAACTTCGACAACACTAAGGGAGAAATCTTAGACAAGGCCCCCATTAGCTCCGAGTGGTCTTTCCACCCAATACTGCAGCCAGGGCTCAGCTGAGACCAAGTACAGGCAACATAGCTTCCGTCACCTCAATGGGGCTGCAAACTCTCTCTGCAGAAACTTAAACAAATCATGAATCAGATGTAAACTACAAGTAATGCAATTTTGGAGAGAGAGATTCGCGAGCCTGGAATTGAATATATATGAATGGATGGCACTGCTTAGCCTGAAAAGTGCAGGTATTTGTATATCTGTCACATTGCAGAGGGGATCATTTATGTGAGTCCCTTTTTAGGTTTGTTTTCAATGTTTCTTCTCCTGATGTATACAGTAAAATGGATTCACAAACAGTTCTATTGTGAATTCATCATTTCCGTGTGAATAAGGACAAAGTTGATATTTTTTGGGGGGTGCAAGGACGGAAAAAAAAAAAAAAAAAATTTGCACCATTTTTCCGCGTTAGGGATTAAGCAATCTGTTGTCGATACAGAACTCTGTCCAAGTGCTGTTGGAGCAAAATGGTTGTCGTTGTCGTTGTCGTTGTTGTTGTTGTTGTTGCTGCTTTGTAATATTACATTTTCCATTAAGAGGATCAGTCTGGTTGTAAATAAAAACTTATATTCCAACTTCTCTGTCCTTTTTCTCTAATATTCTCTCCATGATGAGGCCGAACATCGAGTGAAACTGGTACAACATGCTCAATCTGGCCGTCGCTTTCCCTTTGATTCCTTGGTTGTAACTCGGTTTCTAGGATGGATGGTTTGACTGTGTGCTGTTATCTACCGCAGCTCAGAAAAGGCTGTGAAGATGACTCTCTGGCTTCTCTTCGCAGATATCCCTCTTGCATTGAGCTCTATCTGTAAAACAGTTGGATTACTTCTTATCATTTTTCACAGGAAAACCTTTCGTATTCTAGGCCTACCATTTTCATGTGTGCACATACCATACAAGGCAAAGGTAGGTAGGATCTCCAATCCAGTACATGAATGGTTTCTGTAAGAGAACTGTGCCAAGTTTGTGTCTTTGGAGATGAACAACAGAACAGTAGGGAACCAAAATGGGCAAACTAGCAATCAAACTAATTTTAATAAATGGTCATTATTGAATAGGGCCACTATTGCTCTCGCTCTCTCTCTCTCTCTCCAATATATATATATATATTGCTCTCTCTCTCATTACGGTTTCAATCAAAATATATATATATATATATATATATATATATATATATATATATATTGCTCTCTCTCTCATTACGGTTTCAATCAAAATACAATTGGAGCCAGTCTGTCATTTTTTTTATGTCCAAAATTCATGTGGTCCACGTACTATTTTTGTCTCATGAGCTAAAATAAGCTACCCAAGTAATCAGAGAACTTTGATTCTCCTTGTACAACAGTGGAAAGTTGGGATAGAAAACTCCAAGGATACATATTTATATTTGAGCAGTCACTCTATACAAATTAAAATAAAACATAAAAAGTCTGTTTTCATTTCTCATCATACTTACAGATTTAAAAAATTATTGTTGGAAAATTGACAGGCGTGGATTTATTACTAGTCATTTGTTTCACTTGTTGGCTAAGGAAATGGAAAAAATTTCAATATGTGGGTACCCACTCTGTAGTATCTTGGACAATGAAAATTTTTTATTTCAAATAATAATTCTGCATTAGTTGTGAACTAAGTCACTGATTTGTTCATAGCGTCTCACTTTTATGCTTCGTACGCGAATTGACGAGTTGGGAGTGAATTCACACAAAATTTACAAACTCAATTTCTCTACTTCGGTTAATTTGCGAATTGCCTTTCTGCGAGTGCCATTTGGCTCAAATTATGACTAAAAATGAATAATTAGTGCAGAAAATAAGAATTATAACTACAGTTTTGTAATTTTTATTAATAAAAATTATAATTTTTAGATATCTCATTACTTTTTAAATATTTTATGTTTAAAAAGTTGATAAAAACAGTATTCAAAAAATTAAATTAATAATGCATTAAGCTGAATAAGTACAAGCTCTTAAGGCGCTCCCAGACATGGACCTAGTTTAGCCCCACTGGATTTTTTCTATTTTACATTATTACCTAATATTTTAATTAAAATTTCAAAAATACCCCCACTCAATTTTTTAAAATGACTCCCTTCACAATTTTTTTTTACAAATTTGTCTACAAATTTTTTTAATTTTTATTCTTCGATGATGCCCCCTAAAAAAAACTCGTGGGTCCATCACTGGGAGCCCCTACTCTTAATTTTTTTTAAGATTTGACGCTCTCGCTCCTACTTTACGTGATTTAGATTAAAAGTATCATATTCTCGATATTTCAATCCTTCGTAAAAAATAAAACGTACAAAAAATAAGATCCAATATAATACCACGCACATGCGCGTGTTATATTGGAGAGGATCCTTGCTCCCCTGATAAACCCGTCAAGTAGAAGGTATATTGAGTGCAACAATGGAGTATGGTCCCTGGCCTATGAAAATGATATAGTTGAAAATTGAATTGAGAATAGGACAACACTGAATTCGACCACTCATATTTACTACTATAATTAAGATTGGATCGGTTTAGGCAGTTGAAATTGTATTAGACAAGGACATCAAATAATATGATTGGAGCTATATTTTTTTTTCTATACTTTTCTAGATTTTGTGATATTTAGAAGGCAAATGGAGTTGCATCAGGCTATCACATTTAATGCAACCATATAAAACTTTGATAATCTTTCTTTTGCCTACAAAACGACTTGACGGGTATTCCTTCCTCACACTATTCATTATTTGCTTTCAAGAGTTCTATTCAAATAAGAGTTTGAACGTTTTGAGGATTCTATTCAAACGAGGGTTTTGAGGTCTTGAAGGTTCGATCCAGATGAGGGCATTTGACGGCTTGTAGGATCAATCCAAATGAGGGGTCTCTTAAGGGTTCGATTTAAATGAGGGTCTCAAGAGCTCGATTTAGACAAAAGTTTTTAAAGAGTTCGATCCAGACAAGTGTCTTGAGGCTCTTGGAGTTCGATCTAGATAATTGTCTTGATGGTTCAATCCAAGTGATGGTGTTGAGGGTTCTGTGTACATTGTTTTGGATAAACATTTATAAACTTCGCTAATTCACTGTCAAAATCTTGAATTTTTAGATATGACTTTTAGTGTTGCAAAGTTGTGAAAGGCTACTGTGAAGCTTGAACTAAAATTCTTTTGAGGTCAAATTCAAAATGCTGGTTCTCCCAAATATATCAAAGAAACTTTTGATTTGATTATTGCAATAAGTCTATTTGCACAAAAATATTGTTCGAAGTTATGTTTGTTTCCCCTAATTCCATATAAACAAGACACACTGGGCAATGCCTTTTCATTTTTCTATTAACATACATTAAGTTATTAATATTTTTTCATTCTCCATTTGTTTCGACGTAAAATATTTTTTATTTGTTTCGACGTAAAATATTTTTTTTAAAAAATATTTTTCTTTTTCAGGTAAAATATTTTTTTATTTTTACTTAGTCGGTGTTAGGCAAAAGTCTACGTCGAGGTTGAGGTCGAGTTTATCGGACGGAGTATGTAAAATAATTTGCCGAAAATTTATGTATAAATTATTTTTGTTAAATTTTAATATTTTTTTTTCTTTGTAAATATTTTACGACAACCAAATATTAGAAAATAAAAAAAATATTTTATAAAAAATATTTTACGTCCAAATAAACGGAGCCTAAGTCAAAGTTATATTTGTTTCCAGTAACTCCATACAAACAAAAGACCCATTGGGCAATACTTTTTCATTTTTGTATAAACACAGCTTAATTATATTTCATGACAGTTATAAATGCCATATGCAAATTAAGGATAATACTTTTTGATTTAGTTTTCTAAAATGAAGTTTCTGAGAATTGAAAATTTGTTAGCCAAAAAATACTCCGAATAAAATCAATTATATGAAAAAATATATATATTTTATTTTTAGTCGAGTTTTCTTACAAAAGTTGTAGAACTAGAGTTTTGTTCAATATAAATGTGGGGTAAAATAACAAAATCCCCCTGTACTATCAAATTGGTGTTAAAAAATCCCCATTAAAATTAAAGTGTCTTGAACCAAAAAATTCTTATCACATTACCCCATATACATTAATTAGGTTGTAAAATGACAAAGTTAACCTTATGATTTAATATTACATTAAAAACATATAAATGTTTTTTCAAAATTACAAAAATAACCCTGAGCCTTCTTCCCCCACCTCCCTCTTTCTGAAACTCTTTACCCTAATCTATTTTTGGCAGCTAAAGAGAGGATGGGAAGCAGACAATTGGAGAGCTCTACGTCCACTACGTATTCATAAGCTGTGTAAAATCAAAGAGAGAAGGAAACTGCTAGGTAACAAACGGCATCGTCTTGTTAATAATAAAGGGTAAAATCATTCTTTTAAAGTTTATTTTTAAGTTTTAATTTAATATTAAATAAGAAGGTCAAATTTATTATTTCACAGTCTAATTAACGGGTTGGTTACAAGTTTGGAAGTAAAATGATAAGTTTTGTTAGTTGGGGTCGGTTACGAGTTTAGGGGTAAAATGATGAGTTTTGTTAATTGAGGGACCTATTTAATTTTAGTAGGAATTTTTGTATCAATTTGATTGTTGAAGGGGTTATGTGATTTTACTGCTATATAATATTTTTATTTTAAAATAAGAATAATAATAATATATTTTCAAAAGACTTAACCGTCCATATGGACCATACTTTTTTAATTTTTGGTTGTGACGTAGGGGAAAAATTATTTTAATGAGACATACTGGAGACAAGAGAGGTGTTAGAACCTTAACATTTTTGACCACTGTGACAAATCCATATCTTATTATATGTTACAATCAGGATCTTATAATATTAAAATACACTTTTGGCAGCTCCACTTTGACTGATTCCAGGACGCATGATCCAAACTCAATACTGAACTCCATCAGATATGGTTCTGGAAGCAGTGAAAAACACCCCGTGATACTCCATCTATAGAATTTTTATTTTTATTTTTATTTTTTGTTTCAGACGTAAGCCTCAAATGGGTCGTTTTTGCTTCGCTTTCTAACCCATTTTTGACTTAGAAAATTTCACAAATCTATCCAATTCATGGCCATTGACAAACCTTGGAGGAATTATCAGCCGACCCATTTATTTATTATGACCATTATTTTAACAAATCTTCACACACTGATTGTGTTTTGCTGCTCAGTATCTTCTGGGTGAGGTAAGATCACGGCTTTCTTTTGTTCTATCGCTTTCGTTTTTCTTTGATTACATGAGAGAATTTATTAAATAGGACTTTTGCTTTGTGGGTTGTTTGGCATTTGGCTTGGAAGTTCATTGAGAAGGCCAATGAAGTAGTTTAGAGGTCTGTGTTGAATCACATTCATTCTGTTATTTTAGTTATCTGGTGTGTTAATTAATGGGTGTGTGTTAAATCATATTCATTCTGTTATTTTAGTTCTGTTGTGTTAATTAATGGGTATGGCATTGATTGCAAAAAAAAAAAAAAAAAAATTGTTCAAATTGTATTCCATTGTAATTTTGTTCTCACTAATTTTTTTTTTTTTTGAAAGAAAAAGGAAAATGGAGAATCTTTTCTTGATTCTGAATGTTGGTCTGACTCATGATTTAGTAGTTTCATGGTTTTTTGCATTATGGTTTTATTTATTTATTTATTTATTTTATTTTAGTGTTTGTTCTGTACTGCACTCCATATGTTTGGTAGCTGTTCTTCGGTTTAATTTCTTATGGAAAACTTAAATTACATAATATTGCCTTGAATATGTAATAGTCTCAAAGCTTGAATCTTTTTATGGATTTTGATATTGGGTTGTTTTGTATCTCAAGATGTTTAATTTATTTTGTGAAAAACTGAACTGGACTGGCTATGGAGTTCTGATGATGTATTTTTTGAAAACTTGAAGGTTAAGATATACAAGTAGAAGTTTGAGGCTTACTAGGTTTGAAAAGATGGCCATGGCTGCTACTGTGAAAGTGGTTCTTGGATCAATTGCCTTTGCCATTTTCTGGATGTTGGCGGTTTTCCCAGCTGTCCCTTTCCTGCCAATTGGGAGGACTGCAGGGTCCCTTCTAGGGGCAATGCTCATGGTCATTTTCCAAGTCATAACTCCAGATCAAGCATATGCTGCTATTGATCTTCCAATCCTCGGTCTTCTCTTCGGGACAATGGTTGTTAGTGTCTATCTAGAAAGAGCAGACATGTTTAAATACTTGGGTCAATTACTATTGTGGAAGAGCAAGGGATCTAAGGACTTACTCTGTCGAATCTGCCTCATTTCTGCCATTTCCAGTTCCCTTTTCACCAATGATACCTCTTGTGTAGTTTTGACGGAGTTTGTGTTAAAAATTGTGAGACAGCAGAATCTTCCACCTCATCCTTTCCTACTAGCCCTTGCCTCAAGTGCGAATATTGGGTCTTCGGCAACTCCTATTGGGAACCCCCAGAACCTGGTCATAGCTGTTATGAGTAAAATTTCTTTCGGTAATTTCTTGATTGGAATACTCCCTGCGATGCTTGTGGGAGTTTGTGTGAATGCTTTGATTCTTCTATGCATGTATTGGAAGGTGTTATCTGTTCAGAAGGATGAAGAAGACGCATCTACTGAAGTGGTGGCGGAGGAAGATGTGGTTTCCCACCGCTTTTCACCAGCGACTATGTCACATATTACATCCTTGAATTCGCAAGAATGGAGCTCTACATTGGAAACCACGAATATCCACAACTCTCCCAATGTCAATGGGAACATGGGTCATGGTGAGACTATAAGGAATCGGAGAACTCAAAGTGAGAATGAAATCTACAGGTCCCCTAGTGGGGGGTCTGAGTCCGCGAATAATTCGACTGCATCAAAAGAGTTGACAAATGATGGACTTACTCAAAGAAGGGAGGAAAATTTTCCATCAAGAATGATGTCACCTATGAATGGATTGACACATGCAAACTCCGTGCATTCTCTGGAAGAAAAGGATGGTTTGACCACGAGATGGAAAAGGATGCTATGGAAGAGTTGTGTTTACCTTGTTACTATTGGAATGCTTATTTCTTTGCTTATGGGTCTAAATATGTCATGGACTGCAATCACTGCTGCACTTGCTCTTGTGGTTCTTGATTTTAAGGATGCTCGACCAAGCTTAGAAAAGGTAAAACCAATGAGTTCTTAATTCTTATTTTTGGTTTTGACGGAGGTTTATGTTATTCAGCTAAGTGATATAGAAACTTTAAGAACTCTGTTTGCTTGTTGGCCAAACTTCAGACTGTTAATTTCATTTTTCTTCTTCATCCAGGTATCTTATTCACTTTTGATATTCTTTTGCGGAATGTTCATCACAGTCGATGGTTTTAATAAAACAGGAATTCCAAGCACCCTATGGGAATTCGTGGAGCCTTATGCACATATTGATCACGTTGGCGGGATAGCAGTTCTTGCTGCTGTCATACTTGTCCTCTCAAATGTGGCTTCAAATGTTCCTACTGGTATGTTACATCATTTTTTGTAGGTATCTACTAGTATTAATATATCTAACTTTAACTTTTGATGAGATTGGATAGTAACTCTTGTTGGTTTCATTAAGTACTTGGAAGCAATTCAAACACTTTAGGACCTATTTCAGCATTGACATGTATATAATCTTTATAAAGTCTGTTTTCTGATTACAGTTGTGATAGTCTTCAACTCTTCTTTGAGGGCTTGAATGGGGTGACATTTGAGTATTATATACTTATCAACTCCCTCTGGGATGTGGTGGTTTTACCACCTACACCCAAAACAACACCAGACGACATATAAATCTTGAAAAAGTCAATTGAAAAGATAGGTCAAGTGCTCAGAAGTTGTCATGTGCTATGCGGTGCCGACAGGTTTTACCCCACAAGCTGACATGTGTTGATGAACAAGCTCGAGCCAAGATTTAAACGGAGCAGAGCCCGAGCCATTCTTCATTTGCAGCCCTAGGCACTTCTAATGAGTGCCAACGTCGATGTCAAAAACATCTAAACTAAAACTTCTCAAAAACTACTGACAAGTGCACAACATATTTTGGACATTTACATAAATTAAAAATAAAATTTCATTGTCATGGCTCACACTTTTTGCATACACTCCATATATGATAAATGAATCTCAGACGTTGGGTGTAACTTTCTTTAGTATGGAACCAAGTATAATTTATAAGGAAAAATAAATTGAATATTTATAAGTGATCATAATTATGTATTTGCTTATACACAATCGCATACAACATACACGTGTATGTTTTCTACATGCTCTCTCTTTGTCAATGCAATTGGAAAGGTCATTGACATACAAACACGAGTTAAAAATTTAATGGAAGTCATTGAATAATAAACTTGCTCATATTAAGTTATCTAGTTGCATATGGTATAGTTTTGTATATGAAGAGGTATTCTTTGTTGCCATGTCCTACTCTTTTTCAAGATTTTGCATATGAACGTGTATGTAATATGTTTTGTCCTACTCTTTGTATATTTATTTGGTTATATAGGTGTATGCACTACCTGTGGTTTGCCGTTATTATGTTTATAAGAGCTAGGATAAGCTTTCTTCTTTATAATATTCTATCATCTAGTTTGACATCTTTATAAAAGATTTTAATGTTTGTAAAAGCATATTTATAATAGAGTGGTTACTGTAATTTTTTTTTTTGTTGTTAGATACCATTTTTTAGATCTTGTATATGAAAGGATTTTTTGTCGCCTATATTGTAACATGTTATATTTTCTCAGTTTTATTGCTTGGAGGACGGGTGGCTGCATCAGCAGCCGCAATATCTCCAGCCAACGAGAAGAAAGCCTGGCTCATATTAGCTTGGGTTAGCACTGTAGCTGGAAACCTCTCATTATTGGGATCGGCTGCCAACTTGATAGTGTGTGAGCAAGCTCGCCGTGCTCAACATCTTGAGTACACTTTATCTTTCTGGATCCACCTCAAATTCGGAGTTCCCTCTACTTTGATAGTCACTGCCATCGGCTTGACGCTCATAAAGTGATGAGACCTCCGTTCTCTGAAGATTCTTCCTGTAAAAATTTTTGCACATAAAGAGATTCATGACACCAATATGTTTCAACACTCCTGGGTTCTGAAGAAAGTAGGTATGAATTATGTAGTTTGTTTATTTGTTTCCATATTATATAGAAGAATTTGTATTTGCCACTAAATGCTACTTGAAATAATTGAATAGAACAAGAATTAGTTGTGCAATGATAGATCAGTTGCCTAGTTTTTTTCCTACTCCTTAAACTGGCTTGGTTTTCGTGGATTATTCAGTTAGTTTCTTAAGCATGCTACAGTTGGAGAGATAGGCTACAACAATTACAATAAAATTTATAGCTCGAATGCTATATAAATATTCTTAAACCACTAACAAATTAATTCTTTATCTTTCATTAAATTTTCAGTATCCAGTAAATTTGATTTACTTGGTTGACTGAAAGACAGATGGGTATGGCCAATGGGTGTGGTATCCGTGGATAAAATTAGGTTGTAGTTGATTGTAAGAGAAAGTAAAGTAAGTTTTCTTTCTTTTGATCCAAATAAGAGAGTGAATAAACCAACAAAAAAAAAAAAAAAAAAAAAAAGATAGATAGATGAGAAGTTTCAATAAGAACTAGCAGCTCCAATGTGCTGTAATACTAAGACAATGAAGGATGCTCCGTCTTCTCTGTAGAAACAGTCAACTGATTTATGAACGAGTTAGCTTATTGGTGGTGGCTGAACTCTGAAGCTGCTCCATGCTAAGCTCTTTAACGAGTTCCTAAAGGACAGAAAAGATTGCGCAGGACAAAAAATTTCTTGGAGGGATGTGAAGAATATTTGAAAGCACTCTCGAACAGAATTAACTACAGTAAAAGCCTTGTTAGGGTCCAATCATACCCAATTTCTAATGTAACTCATCGCCATAGCTCATCCTCTTGCCAAATGTGAAACCCTATTCAGAAGTTACTCCCTTGAAGCTGACTTTTGAGAAGTCTGCTCAGGTTTTAAATATGCAGTTGAAAACAACAACAATAACAATAATAGGTGTAATGGGTTAATTTTCCCTGATCTCCCATGAGGTTTTGGGTAATCATCATCAGTCTGAAGTTTTGAAAAAATTGTGGTAACCTCCCTTGAAGTTTGTATGACATTATCCTGGCATCCTCTGTCGTTGATTGACTGTTAGTCCGGTTAAGAATTATTTCTGAAATCCCAGACATGCTCTTATTTTTTTCCCCTCCTTTTTTCTCCTCCTCTTTAAGCGATAACCTACCATACTGCCATCGCGGCCATGTCCACCACCACTACCTTTGTTTTCTGCTCTCTTTTTTCCTCCTTTCTTCTCTTTTTCTCAGTTAACCCAATTCATCATACCACCGTCACCATTACCACTCTCTTCTTCTTCTCAGTCTCTCTCTTTTTCTCTCTCATTTTTCTTTCTATATTTACTTTTTTTTTTTTTCTCTCTTCTAAAATGTATTCTTTGCAACACACAGCTTTATGCCCTGCACAACCACCAATCTCTTCCTCATCATCATTTGCCCAAATTTTCAAATTCCTCTAACTTAAAACAAAATTAAACAAAATTCAAATTTTATTTTTATTTTCATTTACTAATCATTTCCTCCACTTCCTCGAAGAGATAGAAGCAAAATCCAGATCAAAATGAAAATGAATTGAGGCCTAAATTAGTCCATGTACTGAGAATGAACATGGCAAATGCCGAGATTGGGACAAAAGAGCCACTGGTACTACCAGTTCCAAGAATCTCCTACAAGTCACTTCCATTAGAGAGGTGTGCGGCGGCAAGAAACATTATCTTTTTGTCTTGCCCTTTGATTTGGGGTGGGTTGTTATTGGTGATGAATCAGTTATTGTCTTGAATAGATTTGCAGAGAGGAATCCATGGTTGAGTGTTGGAAGGTCATGGTGGTTTGATCTCTGTGTGGTGGTTTGAAGGTCATTGTAACTCCTCTTGTTGTGGTGCTTGATTCCGGGGTTGGCGGCAGCAAGATGGAGGGAACAGCTTAAAAAGAGAAGTGGAGTATGAAAAATATTAGGGAAAGAGAAGGTAGAGAAGGCTGAGAGTGGGTAAAATGGTAAAATGACATGCAAAACGTTTAGGGTGGTTAGGTTTCTAACTCTAGGATGTCAAAAATTTGTCATATCTGAAGGTAATTAAACCCAAACCTCATGGGAGATCAGTATAATTTACCCTATTACTAATGATGATGTTGTTACCTCTTTCATTTGCATGTTTAGGTCACAATTTCAGGTTTTCAAATATTGAACAATTTTATTTTTATCTTTTATTTTTAAATCAGGTAAGTACTCACACACACTATGCTCACACTGGAGCTCGAACCCCTCCCTTCCTCTTTGAAGACAGGAAGGTTATACCATTGGGTTAGAGGCCCTTTGATGAGGTTGAACAATGTTGCTGTTAGTCTTGAATGAAAATGAGAAAATTAAGAGAACCAACCACCTCTCCCAAGATTTTAATAGTAGCATTGACCTCTTATTAGTTCAATGAACAAAGTTGAACTACTCTCAAGCTTTGCATTGATCAACACGTTGCCTCATTTGTTTGACCTCACATGATGAAAGATTTTTAGCAGACTTCTATGTTTCTCTTGGCATGGGATTTGTCAAGGGATAGTCAATAAATATCGAGCTAGTCCCACATAAGAAATATCCATTTAGTACCACAAGGGATGATCAAACAATTCTTTAGTGCCTGATCTTGTCTTATTTCTTCAAATTGTCAAAAATAATTGAAGTTGGAATAATAAAATAGGAAGACACGATTTGAAATGGTCGCATTTTGCCCAACTTTTCTGAAATTGGAAAGTGTCAAGATTGACTCCAAATCTGTTACTGGGCACTATCACATAATAACAATACAGATAGGGACTTTCAAGTGTTTGAAATCTTCTACATTCTCTCTCTCTCTCTACGCCTTTCTCTCTCTAGAAACCTGCACCGACCCACCCTTTTAGCCGCCTCCCACTTTGTCTTCCCCATCTGATTTTCTACCTGCTCCCTTCCATGGGAGTGGGGAGGTGATGTTTCTTGCCTCCCACAGGCTAAATAAAATCGGCGTGTAATGATAAGTACGCTCTATGGGTGGTTTTCACGCCGTTTTTGCTTTTGTTTTGCTAAATCTGTTTCTATTTGGCTTGTTTCCGGCTAGACTGGTGGATCTGTTGTTCTTTCTCCTGCTAGATCTCAGATCTATGTCGGTTTTTTGTTGTCTCCAGCTAGATCTCAGATCTATATCGGTTTTTGTGGTCCCCAACTTGTGCGGGGTTTGGGTGGTTTTTCCACCTTTCGGAGGCACCTTGTGGATATTGCTTTAGAGTTGTTGCCTTGATAATGGCCTAATCTTTGTGTCACTCCCATTGCTACTCGTCTCACTTGGTTTCCGTTGTTTTTCTCAACAAATCTGGAGTCTGGTCTTCATTTTTCTTATTTTTGCTTCAGGATTTGTTTGCCTTTTTATGGCTTGCCTTTGTTGCATATGTACTGTCCTTTATGGATGTGTTGTGTAGATATCGTATGGCTGTTTTCTTTTTGCCAGGGTAAAAAAATAAATAAAAAATTTGTGCTTGAAATTTTCCACTACATGCATGTTTTATTATGTCTAATATGTTTATGTCCTCCCTTACAGATTTTATCAATAGGTGAGTAGTTATTTAAACATTCATCAAGTATGATTAGCAGCAGAATCTAGCTAAATGCTTTCCCATGGCATAAGTTCATTTTTTAATTATATTGACCTCCGTTGAGGTTTGGGCAAATTACACACTAGTAGATCATTCAACGTTTATTATTTTGACATCCCCTAAACTTGTTCGCGGGTGGCCAAAAAGTGACTTTGATTGTGAAAGGTCAATAATACCCTTATATTATAATAAATATATTATAGGGCTAAAATCGTAAAACCCCCCTCTTGTTTCCAAAATCGACGTATACTCCCCTCAATTATTAAACAACCTCCTGAACTAGCAAAAACTATCACATTGATCCCTTTTTGTGACGGAACCATTAAGTTGTTGCGAAATGACAATAATGCCCCTGATAGTATATTAACATTTTATTAAACTAAAATTATAGTGTGAGAAGGGCAATTTTGTCATTACGAATTACAAGGTTATTTTGGTCAGCAAAATAATGCAACTGTTACATGTGATTGTCACGTGATATGATTTCGTTAGTTTTAGACGGAAAACTAACGGGGAGGGGGTGATATGATAGACTTTTTAAAACATTAAGGGATAATATGATAATTTCTTTAGTTCAAGGGGTTAGTTGATAGTTTTTGGAAATAAGAGGGGGGTTTTTATGATCTTAGCCCTATATTATGTTGCATTTTGTACAAGGGAAGGGCAAAATTGTCCTTTTATAAAATTTGGTTAACAGGGGTGTCGTTCAGCATCTACACCGCATCTTAGATGTTGTCAAAGTAATAAACGTTAAATGGTCTACCTGTGTGTAATTTGCCCGACCCTCAGGGAGGTCAATGTAATTTGCCCTTATATGCTAAATCGAAAGAATTTGAGCATATACATGTATGAGCATGCCTGGTTTAAAGTCAAGAATAGACAAGATGACTTTGGTTCTGTTGAGAATTTGAGAGGTGAATGTGAAAGCATTATGTGATTATGGCATTTCTGGTTCTGATAAGAGAATAGTTTGTGAACTTTTTAGTAGGATATGCCTGGCTTAAGGCATTAGTTTCACGTTCGGTATATGTGAGCAAAAAGACACATGCATGTAAAACACATTATAGTCCCACACATGAAATGTCACATTGGAGGCCTAAAATTAGTAAAAATAAAAAGCATGAAATGGGAGATGTATCAGTACCAAACTGCCAAGAAAATGATATGGAGGCCAATTGTAGTGGTGGGTCTAAGTTGGGTACCCTACAGTTTCTTTTCTACTAGTCCATATCCAGCCCCCCTTCACACACACACACACACACACACACACACACACACACACTTTAATGTTTGTCTTTGTTGACATTTTAGTTTAAGAAAAACATTGTCTATAAGAGAACTCAGGCAGCTACATGTGCAGCAAACACAGTGACTACTACCTAACATATTATTATTAAAGAAATAGACCTTCAGAGTAGGACTGGTTTTCCCATTGTTAGCATGCAAAGGGAATGATCATTTTGTCTTCTGCTTGTTAATATATAACTGGTGCCCTATGCTTGTTAGAGGACCTCTGATTAATTTGATGGA